CTCAGTGATTTATCACAGAAACAAAGAAGAGAGTTCCATATGTTCTCACTCATAAGTGGACCCTGAACAATTATAATGCTATAAGAAAGCAATTGGCAGTAGTAGGAAACTGTCAGGGGATGGGGGGGTGGGATTGGCAGTTGAGGGAAACTGCTAGGGGAGAGAGGGACATACCTCATCAACAAGGGTATCTGCATGATCAACGTTTGTATACTTAAACCTGAAATGTACCCCCGCATCTTTATAATAAAAAAATAAATAAATAATTTACAGTTAATCTTGAGGATGGAATGGGGAGAGCAATATGAAAGTCAGAAATCAATTTTTTTTTTTTTAGTCGGGGTCTCACTCTGTGGCCCAGGTTGGAGTGCAGTGACACGATGACAGCTCACTGCAGCCTTGACCTCCTAGGCTCAGGTGAACCTTTCATCTCAGCCTCTCAAGTAGCCAGGACTACAGGTATGCGCCACCCTGCCTGGCTAATTTTTTTGTAGAGATGAGGTCTCGCTATGTTGCCTAGGCTGGTCTCAACTATGCTTAAGCAAGTCTTCCACCTTGGCCTCCCAAAGTGCTAGGATTGCAGGTGTAAGCCACTGTACCTGACAAAAGTCAGAAGTCAGTTTTTTTAGCCAATGTGAACAGAGTCTGCATCATGCTCATCTCACTTTGCATGCTTCTTTAGCTACTGATGTTAATAACATTAAAATTCCCCTTAAACCAGTGTGATGCCAGGAACCCTTTTGCAGGCTCTACAGTCATCACCCAGTGGTGCTTAAACATTTGGGGCACTGTTAATGCTGAAACTGCTTTTTCTTTTTCAGTAAGAGATGCTAAAAACCTTGTACCTATGGACCCCAATGGCTTGTCAGATCCCTACGTAAAACTGAAACTGATTCCTGATCCCAAAAGTGAGAGCAAGCAGAAGACCAAAACCATCAAATGCTCCCTCAACCCCGAGTGGAACGAGACATTTAGATTGTAAGTTGAGATCATTGCAGCCAAACTTGGGTGGTGGAGCTTGGGTTAGGGGCCACCTGAGATCAGGAAGTTTCTCTCTCAGCTTCTGTTCCCTTTTCTGTCTCCCTCCCTCCACCCCTCGTTCCTTTCTTTCCCTCCCTTCTCCTCCATCTGCACTTTTGTATGTGAGCCAAGAAAAAATTAGAACTATTTTTTTTAATAGAGTTGAAAATGCCTGTGATGTGGTGGAGTGGGTGGGAGAGGAAACTGTGTGATGTGTTGCTAAGTGAAAGCAAATTGTGGGAGAAACGATGGGTCTCAGCAAACTGGGGGACATAACCTAGGGTGTGCCGATGGCCTCCCTAGGGCCGAGTTTATGGAGGATGCTAGGCCTGCAGCCTGAAGGAAGAGCTCGACCAGCTTCCCTTGAGGACACTTTCCTGGTGAAGGCTCTGAGAATCTGGGCATCTCGTCGTGATGCATCTGGATTATCAGGCGTTAATGAAAACTGCCAATTTATTAAGCAGACCTATTCTGTGTATCACAAGCACTGTATAACTTCATTGGCTCACCTCATTTCCAGTTTACCAATGAGGCATATAGAGGTTAAAGAACATACCCAAAGTCCCATAGTCCCAAATATGGGGTGAAAGCAGAATTCAGCTTCAGGTGGTCTGATTTCAGAGGCCATGTGGCCAAAAGCATGGTTCTTTGTGGTAGCCGCAGCTCCTCTTCCCTCTCTCAGGACAGAACTGGGCACCATCTCAGCCTCAATCAAGGGCATGCCTCAGACAATTCCCCCAGAGAGATACCAACAAGAATTGTCTCCATTTCCTCAGCCTCATCTTCAGCCCACATGTGAGCAAATACACACACATACACACCCAATTATGTAATTGATATCTGTATTTTTTATAGTGACTGTCAACAGGATTTCTTGAAAAATGTAGCCCTATTAAGACATAAGATAGCAAGTCGTTAGAACTGTTCCTGCTGGAGCTGGTCTAAGGCCTGAGCCTGTTTAAGCCACAGGCTGTCAAACAGAAAAAGCTCTCACTCCCTGGAGACCTAGCTCGGGATGGAAACTGAATATGTTTCTTGCAGCAGCTTGTAATCTTTAAAAATTTCTACCTCCAGGTCTTGTCCTCTTGTACATTTCTTCTGCTTGAGAAATTACTACAGCCTCCACTGACTTCTCTTTTTCCTCTTTGCAGTCAGCTGAAAGAATCGGACAAAGACAGAAGACTGTCAGTAGAGATCTGGGATTGGGATCTGACCAGCAGGAATGATTTCATGGGGTCGTTGTCGTTTGGAATTTCTGAACTGCAGAAAGCCGGCGTTGATGGCTGGTAAGAAAGATTTTGCCTTGAAAGCTATAGTAGAGCTTGCTCCATCAAACATGGGACCAAGAATGTTTTCCTTTTTCTTCTAACAGTGAAATATGCAAGCAGAGTCCTAAAGCAATGGTTGGTAAATTGGTTCTGCCTCGCAGATAGGTTTTATTTGGCCCTTGTACTAAGAAGCAAACAAAAGAATAGTTGCCAGTATCTTTAAAAGCTGGGACTAGAAGGCAGCGATTGAGAACAGTTGAATAGTTCATGCCCCCCTTAGACAGGACACGGTCCTTCCCACTCCCTCATTTATTACATCTGCCCTACTTCACACAATTGTATAGTTTGTCTGTCCCCTTGGGCGTTAAAGTGGCCCTCACAATTATACCAAAAGGTACGAGGAGTTCACTGTCAGATTCTGATGGATAAGAAGCTGCTTCTTCATTGGGAGCCCTCGGCAAGCCTGGCCACAAATGTGCTGGAGGATCACTGCCATGTCTCCTTTGTGTTGGAGTTTTGCTTTGTTCTCTTCTTAAGGCAGAACAAAATCCTGGCTCAGTATTAACAGTTTCCCAGTCATCTGAGTGAAGGAGTCAAAAGAGAGTCCAATTTGGCACTACTTTGGGAGAAGTAGTGATGGGGTTGCTATTACTTCTTTAGGCTAAACATCTCACTTCTGAATTGTCTCGTTCAGGTTTTTTTCAGTTACAAATGAAAGAGATTACACATCACACTGGTTTAGCAAGAAAGAGTATGTACCATCTGGACCACACACACATCCTTTCCATTGTTCACCTCACAACTTCCTTGGCTCTACTCCACATTTACCATAGACTTTTCTTCATATATTGAGTGTCTACTGTGTGCCAGTCACTAGAGACACGTCAAGGTATAAGATAGGCACAACTTCGTGGAACTTAGCTTATGGCGGATGCGGGGGTTGGGAGACAAACCTTAAATGAGAAATCACACAAATAACAAATCAGTGACATGATGTGAGATGTGAAAAAGACAGAAACTGAGAGTGTCCCCCCCAAAAAGGTGTGTTAAAGCACAATTCACAAGTGGTTAAAAACATATTCTCATAAAATAGATAATGAACATTTGTCAAAGTTTTCCTTAGCTCACTAGTGAGGAGACCAGCATGATGAATGACTGACTCCACGGAAGTTTTGAGAAATTGGTGTTTGTATACTCAGTACAGAAAGACACGCTGAAATAACTTAGCTCAGTTAACTATAAAACTGACTGACAAACAGGGCAATAGAATCGCAATCTTTGGGGTTATCTTATCTACCGGCTGAAAAAAATGTTCTCACCTCATTTTTCTAAAAGTTACCATCTATCTTTGCAGACTAGGGAGGCCATCTGGGTGCAACCCGGTGGTGAATAATAAGTTAAACAAAGTAATAATTCTGTAAGGAAGGAGATACCTAATTAGAAAATGCTCTAGCATGACATTAAAAGGTCACACAGTCATATTTTTTTTTTCTCCCAAGTTTTGCATATTTTTTCCTAACATATGGATGATTTGACTTTGCATGGGCTCCCCATCATTCACTCACAGAGTGGGCGTTTCTTCCTCTTTAAGCTTCTCTAAGTCAAGCTTAAAGAGGTTAAAGAGAAAAGAATGCACGATCCCCAGGGGGTATAAATGAGAGCGAGACATGAGAGAACATAATAGTCATAATTATAATAACAATAGCTACCACTTATGAACTCGCACTAGTTGCCAGGCACTGGGCTGAACATTTCCAGGTGTCACAGAGTCACACGTTTACACGGCACTACTCAGATGTGCAGAGAAAATGTAGCTTCTTTCTTTCCAATAACGAACTTAGACTTTCTCATGGTGGGCAGGGAGAAGTAGCCTTTCACTGGGTGGGATCCCTTCTGGGCTTCACTGCTGCAGAGTGTCCTTTCCTATCTGGCCCCTGATCTGGTGCCCACTGAGGCAGAACTGGGCCTACTAGCTTCCGGGCATCATCCTGGCTTCATGCTGGAGTCTCAGGTCCTGGCTTGTTGCCTCCCTTTGTGAGCTCCCTTCACACAGTGCCCCTTTTGGCCCTCTCCCAGGCCACTGCCAGGCCCCATCCCTCTCAGCACTTCTGTGATCCCTCATTTCTGAGCCTCCTTCATGGAGCACTACTTGAGTCCTCGGCCTGGGGCAGCTTTTCCTTTCTTTCTGCTGCTGCTGCTGGGATGGCATTGCCTTCCACATAGGTAGGTCTCTGGCCAGGGCTCCAGCTGAATAGGTGGGAATCCACCTCTCTCCAGCCTCTTCGCCCCTCTCCTTCCTAAGAGTCTCCAAGCTTCATCCTTCTTCCTGGGCTAGTGTCCCCCTTGTCTATTCACCTGAAGCAGACAGCGGGAGCTGGGGAAAAAAAATAGGTAAACAATAAGGGCTGGTGTATTGGGAGTTAAGTCCAAAATATTCCTGCATTTCACACTTAGATAACCATTTAACTCTCCCAGTAATTCTAGGTGGAGCATCATTTCCAAGCATTAGAGTAGTTTAGCACTAAGTTAAGGAGACACAGATCATAAGAGACAGTGCTGGGGTTTATGTCTCTGTGATACCAGAGCCTAAGCATATACAATCCCATTCTGTCTCCTGATAAGGGTAGGCCAAGGGCTAGAGGGTAGACAGCTAGGATTTGACTTAGACTATCCTGACTGGATGGGTGCTTCGTGACCTCAGGTGAGTCACTTCACCTCTGTACTCCAGCCTTCTCAGCAGGTATTTTGCCATTTGTCAGATTGATGATGGCACCCCTTGTCCTCTATCCACCATCCACCCTTATTACATTGATGATATAATAGTCGGAAGGGAACTTTTGCAAAATAAAAGCACTCATTAGATTTTTGCAGATAAAAGTCCTCTTCAGGCCAGACGTGATGTCTCACACCTATAATCCTAGTACTTTGGGAGGCCCAAGTGGGAGAATCACTTCAGGCTAGAAGTTTTGAGCCAGCCTGTGCAACATAGCAGATCCTATGCCGCCTCTACAAAAATAAATGCCCTCTTATTTTTAAAAAAATCATTTTCATGTTTAGGTGATTATGATGCTGTCTTGATTCTAAATGTACCAAATCTTAGCCATTTGTATTCTTGTCCCAGGGATTCTTTTAACACTCTGTGATCCTGAATAAGTCACATGCCATCTCCAAGATTCAGCTTTCCCATGGAGAAGGGAATGGGCTCCTCCAGCTTGTCTGTTGTGCTGTAGTTTAAGACCATGTGGCAGAAACAGCAGAAACACCTGTGAAAGCCCCCAGATGTGGTATAGCAGCCCCAGGCCCCTCGTCTGCCTCTTTGCCACCAGCTCCATATATGTTGTCAGATCCTCTTCTTTGCTTCTAATTTTGTTTGCTTATTCTGTCTCCTTTCTTTCCCCAAGATTTTCCAGAGGTTCATGTGTACTTATTTCTTTATTTAAAGAATTAGCTCTGGGAGGATGTGTGTATCAGTTTTGTGACTGTTTTCTCTTTTCCTCTACGTTTATTTTGTGTTTGTCTTTGTATTTCAGTTAGACATTTTACTAATTTATTTTTTCCTCTTTCACCTTACTCTGCTCTTTAAAAATAATGAACAGCCGGGCTCGGTGGCTCAGCCTGTAATCCCCCACCTTTGGGAGGCTGAGGTGAGTGGATTGCCTGAGCCTGCAGGTTCGAGACCCGCCTGGGCAGGCGAGACCTCATCTCTACAATAAAGTCAAAAAATTAGCTGGTCGTGGTAGCGCACGCCTGTAATTCCAGCTACTTGGAAGGCTGAGGCGGAAGAATCGCCGGAGCCCAGCAGGTCAAGGCTGCGGTGGCCGGGAGCGGCCACTGCACTCCAGTCTGGGCCACAGAGTGAGACTCCGACTCAAAAAATAAATAAATAAATAAATAATGAACAAGACTGAGTGCAGTGGCTTACCCACATAATCTCAGCACTTTGGGAGGCCAGGGTGGAAGGCCAGGAGTTTGAGACCAGCCTGGACCACTTAGACTCTGTCTCCACACAAAAAAATAAATAATAAAAAATAAATTAACTGGACTTGGTGGCATGCGCCTGTAGTCCTAACTACTTGGGTAACTGAGGCAGGAGGATTGCTTGAACCGAGGAGGTCAAGGTTGCAGTGAGCTATGATCATACCCTGCACTGTAGAGTGAAACCTTGTATCTAAAAAGAAAAATAATAATAATCAAAAATAATAATAAAAATTTTAAAAACAATAAAAAGTAATGAACAGGTATTTGCAGCAATAAACATTTCCTCTAAGTTTTGATATGTCATGCTCTAGCTTTTGTTGCTGCCTTGAGATCTGCAATTGTGTTTTTAATTTCCTTTATAATGTTTTAATTTAGGTACTTTTTTAACCTCTAGAATTAGCCTCTTGTTTAAATTGTTATTATTTATACGAACTTATTGTTTTAGTGCTTTCTAGTTAGAGAATGTAACCTGTGTATTTTTCTTTCTTCCCTCTTCTTCCTTTTCCTTTTTTTTTCCTATTTAGCTTAGTGTGTATTCAGTGTTGGTAAAAGCTCTGTGGACATTTCAATAAAAAGATTATATTTACTGTTTGGAGGGTATGCATTATAATGTTTATTAATTCGATCTTATAAGGTCCAAATCTTTTATGACTTCATATTTTCTTTGTGTTTGCTTGAACGAAATGTATAGTGCTTATTAAGTTTCTTCCTGTAAAATTATTCAAAGAAATTTTTTCATTTCTAATGGTTTTTGCCTTATATGTATGTGGCGATATTATTAACCACATAACTCTTCAAGTCTTATTATACTGACGTGAAGTTATCTTTGTTGCAGTTAATACTTTCCCCTTATATTTTACTTTGTAACTGGCATGCATGCATTCATTCATTCATTCATTCATTGAATATGTATAGGAAACACCTGCTGTGCTGAGGAGACACTAGTGAGCAAAATGGATAAGAATCCTTGGCCTCATGGAGTTGTTTTTTTTTTTTTTTCTAGTTGGGGAGAAGCAAACGATTTTTAAAAAATGGACAAAAGTAAATAGTAAAACATAGCATATTTGAGGCTGATAAATGCTATAGAGAAAAGTAAACAAGAAATGGGGATAGGGAATGCAGGGGGGAGTAGACAGATTTTATAGGGGACTCAGGAGAGGACTCACTGAAAAAGTGACATATAACAAAGACCTGAAGAGGGCGAGGGAGTGAGCCATGTGGATATCTAGGGAGAGAGAGGACAGCCAGTGCAAAGGCCCTGATGCAGGAGTATGCCTGGCAAGTTTGAGAAGCAGTAAGACTTCTCATATGACTGGCACTGGATCAGTGAGGGGGAGTGTGGTGGAGGAATAGGTCCAGAGGAATGAAGGTTGAGGAGCTCTTGACAGATACGGGGGTGGGGGGAGGGCATGTAAGGGCTTTGTCTTCTGCTCTGCAAAAAAATGATGGGGAACCAAGGAATTAATGAGATCTGATTTACCTCTTAAGGTGTTGCCTTTAGTTGTGGAGTGATAGGTTCTTTATTGCCCCATTCCTTTATGTTTAATCATTCTAAGTCCTTTGGTCATGTATAACAAGTGGCATGTTACAAAGAAAAAACAAAGGCCGGGCTCCATGGCTCAGCCTGTAATCCCAGCACTTTGGGAGGCCGAGGCAAGTGGATTGCCTGAGCCCGCGGGTTCGAGACCCGCCCGGGCAACTTGGTGAAACCTTGTCTCTACAATAAATAAAAAATTAGTTGGGTGTGGTAGCACATGCCTGTAGTTCTGGCTACTTGGAAAGCTGAGGCAGAAGGATCACTGGAGCCCAGCAGGCCGAGGCTGTGGTGGCCGGGAGCATGCCACTGCACTCCAGTCTGGGTGACAGAGTGAGACTCCAACTCAAAAAAAAAAAAAAAGAAAAAAGAAAAACTGAATTTGAAAATCTTTTCTTTTTTTCCCCCATAAGTAAATGTCTTTAATGCTTATGGTTTTAATTGCCATGTTTCTGTTATGATATTTCTGTTTCTAAAAATTTTTTTTCTTTCCTATCCCATTCCCTTTTAACTATTATTTTCAATCATTGTTACTTTACAATTATGTTTTAAAATTTTTCTTCTATCATTACTAATACAGTAATGATATTTTGTTTTTGATGCCAAAACAGAAAAGAAACAAAAATGAAGATTTTGGAATCATACTGTTTGGCAGCCTGCATTTTTCACCCACCAGTGTATTATGAACCTTTCTCCCCTCTTTCCCTAATCTTGGGCAACATAATTTTTAATAGCCTAATGTGATCATTTCTGTGGATCTGTCTCAGTTATATAGTCACATTCTTATGATCAGGTGTGCAGTGACTATCTAAAACAATAATTCTGCAACAAACATAATTTTAGCAAAGCCTTTGTGCACAGTTTTAATTATATGTATTGTTACAGTATTTGCTGATCAGAAATTTTAAAAATCAATTTACATTCTTATCAATGTCGGTATGAGACTTTTCGTTTTACCCACACTTGTCAACATCTGGTATTATACATTTAAAAGATAAGATGTAAAAATTATACATATTTTGTATTACTAATCATGTAGAACACTTTATTTGTATATTGCCATTTGTTTATATTTGTAAATGACTGTGTTCTGCCTTTTGCTCTTTTCTCATTGGTTTATAAGAACTTTTTATATAAGAAGGATACTAATGTCTTTTCTGACATATATTTTGCGATATTCCTCCTTTTCATGTTGTATATTAATTTTGGTAATATGCATTTTTCTTAATAGTATATAAAATATTCAGTTCAACTAATATAATAAATAGTAAGCCAACTGCCAGAAAAATGTCTCAAGTTTGTCTTCTCATTCACTAATTGATATCTGAATTATCCATCCTGTGTGTTCACTGTCTCCAAAGGATTTTTCAATTCAGTAATTATAATTTTCTTCTGAAAGTGATCTTTCCCAATATCATATTGTTCCCTTTTCATAGCTGCATTAACTTCTTGAATCTCATTGAAAGCATGAATTATGTATTTTTTGGAATCTTCTCTCTTTTGGCAGCAGTTTTATTTCATGGAGGTAATAAAATACCCGATTCCTCATTGTTTATTTTTATTTGAATGTCTGTTCTTCACACATCTGTTATCTCTATCTGCCCATCCTTAGAGAAGGGTAAAAACTGACATGACAAGTGTCCTTGTTCTAATCTTTCATATCACGATATAGGGAGACAGGAGTCTTTTGAAGAGTTTGGAATTCTGTTTTGTCAGATCAGGAGTCTTGTTCCTGACATATCTGAGAGGTGCTACATTTGGAATCAGCTGTATGAGCTGTGTGACAGGCAGCCTAGCTGCCCAAGAAGAGGCATCCTCCCATGTTGGTTTGTGCCTCTCAAAGTCGAAAGAGGTCCCCATTCCTCTCTTTGAGAAGGCACAAGTCCTTATTTGGAGACAGTATTGGCAGCATGCTGGCCACTATGACCACATGCAGGGGCACAATGCCCCACCTGCAGCTCCAGGAGTGACGTCTTGTGTTCCATCCTGAGTGTGGATGGGAGTCGGTGACTCTCATCTGGTCCCTATTGGTCTGATCCAGAGTTGTTAGTTGGACTCTGTTGGGGTTTCTTTTACTGATGGCAGCTGGCCAATCCCTGTTTATCTATATTTTTTCTAAGTGTGAGACTCCAAAGGACTTTAGATAGTACGTGGTTAGGGCATAAGTAGTATGGTATTGTACCCTGAGAAAGCTATCCTTTTGTCAGTGCTTCTTCAATTCTTCAGATTATGGAGAAGAGAAAGTCTCAGAGGATTCTGGTATATCCTTAACATTCTTTAATACTTGCTCTTTGCTGATCTCCCATTAAAAACCTGGGAGTGGCAGGTTTTAGGCTCAGAGTCTTTGGTAAGCAACACCATCTACCTGGACTTGAATAACACTGATGTGCATTTGTTTATCTTTTTTAATAGTTACTTTCTCTGTGTAACAAATAATGTTGGATTCCTTTTCTTTTTCTTTTCTTTTTTTTTGAGTTGGAGTCTCACTCTGTCGCCCAGACTGGAGTGCAGTGGCCGCTCCCGGCCACCGCAGCCTCGACCTGCCACCTCAGCCTTCCGAGTTGCTGGAATTACAGGCATGCGCTACCATGCTCAGCTGTTTTTTAAAAAAATTTTATTGTAGAGCTGAGGTCTCACTAAGTTGCCCAGGCGGGTCTTGAACCTGTGGGCTCAGACAATCCACTCACCTCAGCCTCCCAAAACACGGGATTACAGGCTGAGCCACCGAGCCCGGCTTGGATTCGTTTTCAAGAAAGAGATATAAAGTGTCCTTTCAAACTATAAAAAGAAGATATTTTAATGAAAAACATTAAATCAACATAATATACAGGTTTTATAAAATCCACAAAGGTAGCATCTGCAGGGATGAAGTTTACCAAACATGGCTCTGCATTCTCTATTCTTTTAATTTGTAGAAATTCCTGGAAGTCCCTGCTGTGTGTGTAGCATTCTTCTTGATTTCCAGCAAAGATACAGATGTTCTCTTATTTTTGTATTTCTTTTGGTGATTTCCATGGAAATTTGGAAGAAGAGCATTGAATATTAAATGTGGAGGCGTAGCGGCTCAAGTTGTCATCTTTGCTTTGAATCACCTAGCCCCCTATTTTTGGAAGCGGCTTGAGATTTGTGAATGGAGGAAAAAACATTGTGACCAACATTGTAAACTTTGGTTAGGGATTATCTTTGGGAGTGAGGAGTTTGGGGGTCTTTTTTCTTCCCCATTGACTCAAATGCCTTTGGAATGTCTCTTTTCTCTCCTCACTGTCATCTTATCCTTGGACTAGCTGGGAACATCTTTGTGGTCAAGAAACAAACTGAAGCTGCTGTGTTTATTATTATAACCTTAGTAGCAGTATTAATAGTGATAATGATGATGATGCCATTTACTGAACACTTGAAGAATGCCAATTATGTACATCATTACATTTAACCTCTCAGCAATTCTATGGAAAAGGGACTTGTATTCTAATTTATAGATGAGGAAATCAGAGGCTCGGAGGGCTTAAGCAGCTTATCCAAGATTATCCAAGGAGGCAAGGACAGAGGTACGTTTGGGCCTAGGCATGGTTTGACTTCAGAGCGTGTGAAGTTAACTCCTAAGTGATATATTTCTCTAGAGGTTGACTATAGAACACCATGGACAGACTTCTGCAGAGAAAAATACCATTGTAAAGTTAAGTCCATAGCCACCTAAATGTGGCTGAGTGCCAGGATGGCCAGGTGGCAACCTACGTAAGATGAAAGGCAGAAATGCGGGAAGAACTTAATAAGAACACATTTACCGTGTGGGATGGTCATAGCATTGTTTCAGAATAAGAAAGCATTAATGGGCAAAAAAAGAAAAAATCAGTAAAAACATACAGTAATTGAATGATATAACTAAGAACCCTGTGTATGTGTGTCTGGAAAGAGAAAGAACTCTGCATCCTATAAACACACATCCTATAAACACAGAATATACATTTTTTTCTGATGTCCTTGGAATAGTTATAAAAATATATATTGTACCCAGCTACAAACACACTGACACCCACACACCCCCAATACCAAAACAAAACAGAAAACCATCAACACATTTTTCTAAAGCAGAGTTTTGTATAGGCCTCTGTTTTGTATCACGATCAACAAAATAATATCTAGCGGAGTTATGGAAGCTGTCCCGCCCCTTGTCTCTCTCCAGGTTTAAGCTACTGAGCCAGGAGGAAGGCGAGTACTTCAACGTGCCTGTGCCACCGGAAGGTAGTGAGGGCAATGAAGAACTGCGGCAGAAATTTGAGGTGAGGTTTCTCTTTTGCTTTCTACAGCCGTAGGGGCCAGTTAAGTCTGCCACTGTGCTGTTTTTCCTGTTTCTGGCATGCTTTCTACCAAGACCTGTCATGACTCTGAACCTTTGCAATGCTGTTCCGTTGCCTAGACAACTCCTACATATCCTTCAATACCCCCAATTAAGTGTTCTTTGCCTTGTGAAGTCATTCCTGTTTCCCTGTCCTTATTCAGATTTAGACATTTTTTGAAAAATATCCATTCACTGCTCAGATCATTTTGATGGTGACTTTGACTAGAATGGGAGTTGATGTGGGTGAGACATGTGGACAGAGTAGTGAGATGTTTTGGAGACTGATTCAGCTAGGCTTGCTGATGGATGGACTCTGGGTTTGGATCTATTGGCAGAATAGTGCTGTACTGTTAACAAATGGAATTGATTGTGCTGTGACTTTATGAAATACCCCGTGGGTAGATCCTCCCAGACAATCATTCTATCAAGCTTGGCTCTGACCTTGGGTTATATGACTGGCTCTACTCTTACCTTGGATAAGATCCTTCTCTTTTGTGGGGACAACTAAATGTCATTTTCAGCTAAAATGAGAGCAGCAGGTATATAGAACACATCCCAGTTTTACAAAAAACATGTTTTGGGTTCGAGTGCTTCCATCATATGTGCATTGAATGATTTTAAAGTAGTTTCATGAGGGGAAAACATTATTTTGTTCACATAAACTCAGTATACTGAGTGTGGTGGGAAATGATCAATTCTAGATAAGTGGTGAAAAAATATGTAAAATAACATAACTAAAAACTAGTAACCCTGAAAAAAAAAATCAAATGGCATAGTTAAAATTACATGGATTCTTATTATTGTTATTCATCAAATAATTACATAAGCAAATAAAAAAATTTGTAAGGACCCCATACAGTTCTGTGAAAGAGAGATCAGGTACTCAGAGAATATAGAAGAGGGAAATGTCACCTTGTTTGAGAGGACGGGGTAGGTGCCAGGGAGGAAACAACAATTGAAGTTAACGAAGCAGAAAGGGAGTAAGAGTTCATTCAGTGGGAATAGCATGTGCAAAGGCCCTGTGGTGGGGAGTTAGATTGTACTCATAAGAGACTGAAAGAAGGCCAGTGCTGGTAGAGCAGAGAAAGCCGAAAGATGAATCCAAGGTAAAGCTGGGAAAGTGGGTGGGAGTCAGAGTAGCGGGGCTGTGCTGGCCTTGGCAAGGATTTGGGCATTTATCCCAAGAGCCGTGTTCGTTTCCCTCTCAACTTGAAGAAGTAGCACTTGTGTGTTTCCAGGTCCCTTGTCTTAAGCTTGTGTCCTCCACATAGCCTGTACAATGGTGATGGTTCTGACCCAGTAGGATCTCCCTTCTTCTCCTCTGACTTTGATAACAGAAGGTTTTCCCCATAGTCTTTGCCTCAACCCTAAGTGAATTGATAAAATAACCTTCCCTCGAAGTACAGCTGAGAACTGATTGCCATTTGATAAACATTAAGACAGGAAGACAGTTCTTTCAGAAAACACTTTCCATCTCTTTCTCACAACTTTCTGATGAAGTGGTGTTCATTTGCTGCTGTGTTCATTTGCTGCTGTGTTTCACCTACTATTGTGGGTAAAAAACAAGGCCAGAATTCTCTTGTATACCACGAAGGCTCAGTTTTGCAAAATGATTTCTTCTGTCCTGGGGCAGCTGGGGTGACATTTCAGAATACCAAGGAAAACATTTTCTATGCGAATGGAGCATTTGTCTGGGCCAGTAATTGGCTTGGAGTAAAGGACTGTTTTATCTGCATGCAACAAATTGTGTCCCTTTATTTCTAGCAAGAGCCTGCGAATGCTTGTTTATGCCTGAATGATAATCACTCCATACTGTAAGTTGTTGATTAAAAAAAATGTTTCCAACAGACCAAAAATTGTTCTCAGACTCACAGAGGAATTTCAGTTGACCTTGAACGTGAGAAATGTAATCCCTGTGCAATAACCAATTAGCAGCCGGAATGACTCAGAAATTACTTTCAAGCCTCTTATCTGGAGAAATTCTGAGTGATGGTAAAATCGAGCTGCTAGAATCAGGGTAATAGAATTTCATGGTAGCGTGAGCTTGGTGTGGTTACCACATGTGGTATATTTTAGAACATCTGAACTGACTGTGTCTGGGGGGGCTTTCAGTCTGATCGTGAATTTGCCAGTGGACCAGGGAAATGAAGACTCCATTTTGATGACTCAGAATGGGATTTCTCAGAGTCTTAAAGTTTATTTATTTAACAAAATGCTTACTCTGTGCTTACTAAATGCTTTGCAAATATTAACTCATAGAATTTAATCTTCATGACAACCCAGAATGGTGGGTTCTATTATCATCCTCATTTAACTTTTACAGATGAGGAACCTGAGGCCCACAGAGGTTTCAGTAATTTTTCAAGATCCCAGAGCTGGTCATTGTCCCAGGTTTGAGTTTTCCCAGAAACACATTACAAGGATTCAAGCACAAGTAGTTTATTCAGAAGGTGGGCCCAGCAGCACCATTGCAAGAAAAGACAGGAAGCCAGGGAAGTATTATCAAGCAGGTGACCACTGTAGGAAGCTGAGGTTTCTTCATCCTGATGAGAGTCATCACAGAATTCCTCAGAATTTCCCAACCAAGGGGCAGGTAGCATCCTTCAACCCCCCTTCCTTTGCAGGTTGAGGGCTGCCACCAGTGGGGTCCACTTGTAGCATCCCCTGCTTGTGACCTGGGCTTGCTCCTGCAACCACACAATGAGCCGCAGGTGGAGTCACAGCTTTTATTCTCCAGAGGAGAGCATGCCGGGAAGGTCTTGGTGGAACCAGTGACCGCATCTGTGCAGTATCACCAGTGGTCAAGAGCACTGATTTGAGAGCCAGGCTGCCTGCATTTGAACTCCAGTTGTCCCATTTCCTTGCTGAGTGACTGTAGGCAAGTCATTTTGTCTCTGGGAACTTTTGATTCCCCGTCTGTAGAATGAGGAATTAGAGCGCTTCCTACCTCATAAGGTTATGTAAGGATCAAATGGGGTAATGCGTTCAGGGGAGCGTCTGGTACGTCATAACCGTGCAGGCGTTTGGCACTGGCATCACTGTTGTTGTTATTATCAGCTCCCTCCTTGGGATAAATAGAGCTCAGAACATGCTCTTCTGGGGCTTTGGGAGAGCTGCTTAGGGGTTAGGGAGAGTCTGCAGGGACCCCTAGTCTACACAGGCCTTTGCCTCCACTGCTGAGTAGCTTGGGAATGCCCAAAGTAGTTCCTTGAGGGGGTGGGGTGACAGAGGAGTCTGTAGTTTAAACCAGGACAGGCATTTATCTTCTGCAATGGGGCCTGGAGACTGGCTGCCAGGGTACCTCCACCATCTCTTGATGCAAAATGGAAAGTAGCAGGGCTCTTTGCTCAGAAGTATTCTCTCTCTCTATTTGCTTTCCCTTTGAGCTTTGCGTTTGAGCACTCTAAATTGCAGGCATGAAAAGGCAACCATTAGTGTATTCCTGTTTCTGGAGGCATATCCTATCCAGCAAGATAAAGGACAATTTTAATTTGGGTCTCAATCTTATAATGTCCTCTTTGATGGAGTACGTGCTAGGCATGAAACTCCTTGGAACGATGGAGTATTCAGAAGGATATGGGGCAGGCTTCCTGTCCTCTGGTGGCTCACTGTGGAGGGGTCACAAACCCAGATGTTTTTGGGAGCTAGGCAGATAATAAGAAGGGGAAAAAGCTTGGCTCCATCCAATGCTGGCAGATCCACTTCATGAAAAGAAGCTGAGAATCTGGGCTTTTATAAGACGAAATATTAAAATATTAAACACTGTGGAGACTAGACCAACAGGGTTATTTGACTTCTGGTCTGGATTCTAGAGGTTGAGTTAACATGTCCTCGGGAAAATTTCAAAAGCACACAGTGATAGTGTAAGGAAAGAGGGTGAGCAGCCCCAAATTCAGTAGAGAGAAGGCAACCTGCAAGGCTGAGGGGTGAGACTGCTGGGCACCTGTTGCTTCTTAAGGGACAGAGAAAGACACAGAAAACAACCCCCAAAAAGCTGTTTTCAGATCTCAGTTCACTAAGCAAAGCCAAAGGAAGAAATTGAGATGTCTGAGCTCTACATTCACGCTTCACTGGAGTGTGCACTGGGACCTACAGGCACATGGACAAAGAAAGCCTGGCTGCTGGGAGGGGAAGCAGGGACCGGGGCACTCAGGGTTGGGATCTTCACAGCTTGGAGAGTGGAGTGGGTGAATCTGATGGGTCCTGAATCTCAAGAGTCAGAGAAGGTGGAGGCATAGCCATAAGGCAGCAAGATGGTAGAGTGGGGAGGGAGCAGGGAATGTGTTTGGGTCAGGCCAGCCTGGGTAAAACTATGGGGCCTGGAGAATAATAGCTTAGGAATGTGTGAGGACACAGCCCAAGAAAGGCAGTGCAGCTCCTATCCTGGGTTGCTCTTTCATTATTCGCAGTCTCCACTGTAAATAAGATGATTTCTTGATTTTAACTACCCCCCAGTTTCTGTCTTCAGCTCAGCTATATTTTCTCTACCCCATATAATACACATAATACAACAGCTTACTGGGTATTTACACATGGTTGTTCTAGAGACACTTAAACCTCAACATCTTTTACCATCAAAAAAGCTACCTGGCCAAGTGTGCTCATAGCCTCTCTGTTAGAAGGCAGAAAGTGGAAAGGACTCACATGCCCGTGAGCAGGAGCGTGGATAAACACGCACAACGAGTGCTGCCTGAAAATACAAAGGAACACATCACTGATTCATGCAACAACGCGGACAGATTTCAAGAACATTTCAACAAGTGAAAGAAGCCAGACACAAAAGAATACACATTCTACGATTTCACTTAGATGAAATTCATGAACAGACCGACTGACCCATGGGGCTAGCAGTCAGAACAGAGGTTGCCTTCATGGGAGGAGGGATTGACTGGAAACTGTGGGAGGGTGATGAAGGTGTTCTATATCTTGGTCAGGGTCTGGGTTACCAAGGTGTATACAGCTGTCAAAATTCATAGAACTGTACACTGAAGATCTGTGCATTTCACTGTATACACCTCTGTGTCAAAAACATTAATTACAGAAAGGGAAGGTTGGTGAATGCTTTGTTAGCCATGGTCCCTAAATGATGGGGGAACTTGTACTCCATGAGGAAGAAATGAACCTTGCAGTTTTAAGCCACTGTGGGGAAGGGGAGATCTCAACATATCTGAAATCAGACTAGTTATCTCTGCCAGCCCTCTTCTCTACTATTCCAGACTTCCTCCTCTGCTTCTTCTCATTCTAATGGAAAGAACCGCCACCCCTCAGTGGCCCAGAACAGAAAGCCAGGAGCAGTCAGTCCTTTACCTTTGATCTCCCTTACCTGCACCCAGTCCCCACCCAGCCATGATAAGTCTGCCTCCCCAATAGGTTCACTTCGTTCTGTCTACACTGCTGGCATCTGAACTCACCATCATTTCTCACCTTGATAATTGCAGTTATTTCCTAATGGTCTCCAAACTCATATCCTTCAAACAGGTCTCCTCACTCCACCCAGAGTGATCTTCTAAATGTGCCACCACAGCCCTGCTTCCAGCCTTTGAAAAGCTGCCTGTCATGCTCAGAATCAGCCCACACTTCTTTTTTTTTTTTTTTTTGAGTTGGAGTCTCACTCTGTCGCCCAGACTGGAGTGCAGTGGCCGCTCCCGGCCACCGCAGCCTTGACCTGCTGGGCTCCAGCGATCCTTCTGCCTCAGCCTTCCAAGTAGCTGGAATTACAGGCATGTGCTACCATGCCCGGCTGATTTTTTGATTTATTGTAGAGATGAGATCTTGCTGCCCAGGCGGGTCTCGAACCCGCGGGCTCAGGCAATTCACTCACCTCGGCCTCCCAAAGGCACGGGATTACAGGCTGAGCCACCGAGCCCGGCTACCCCACACTTCTTAACGGAGTTTCCAGGGCTCCCAAACCTCCTGGCTGCTTCCTATGCCACATCCGCCTTGCACTTCATGCTCCTGCCTGATGACCAGTGTTCTGTTCCTTAAATGTGTCTTCCTCTCTGTTCTGTAAAAGTCATTCGTGCGGCCAATGCCAATTCCTCCACCTGAACAGCTCCACCATGCTATTGGTGTGGACACAGTGTAGAGGACCCAGTCCTCACACTGGGTCCCCACTAGAATGCATGTCCTTTGAGCATCTCTATCTGTTTTGCTCCCTGATTTATCCTCAGCACCTAGAGCAACACCTAACCCATAGCAGACACTCAATAAATATTTCTTGAATGAATCTCCCTCTGATATTCAAAACCCCAGAAAGATCATTGCTGCCCCCTTATCTTCAAAAGACAGTAGAATAATGCAACAACAATAATAGCTACCTTTCATTGAGCATCTACTGTGTGCCAGGAATGGCACTGAGAATTCTGTGACATGTGAGCTCATGTCATTGTCTTCCTTGTTTTGAAAAGGGACTGAGGTTTAGGAAGGTTTATTCACCAAAAGCAAGACAGTGCCTATTCTGTGCCAGGCGCTGCTATAGGTGCCAGGGAAACAGTGGAGAACAAAACAGACAAAACCTTGCCCTCAGAGAGCTTATGTCCTGGTGTGAGGAGAAAGACAATCAATTAAGAAACAAGCAAATATATGATTTGTAAGATGGTGACAAGTGGTGTGGAGAAAAATCAACTGAGTAAGAGGGATTGCCAAGAGTGGTTTTATGTAGTGTGTTCAGGAAAGGGCTCTCTTATCAGAGATGAGGCAACTCTGAGGGAAGGGCGAGTACAAAGACCCTGGGGCAAGAATGTGTTTGGTGTATTCAGAGAACAGCAAGGAGGCTGGAGTCAGAGAGGGTGCAGAGCGGCCCTGTCAACTGCAGCCTTTGACATTTACTCCGCGAGAAATGGGAAGGTATAGGATGCTTGGGCAGAGGAGCATCATGACTTATTCAGGGCCACACAGCTGATCCATGTCAGAGGAGTCTAACATGAGCTTTTTGTTTTGTTTTTAATAGAGGCAGGGTCTTGCTATATTGCCCAGGCTGGTCTCAAACTTCTGGCCTCCAAGTGATCCTCCTACCTCGGCCTCCCAAAGTGCCAGGATTATTGGCATGAGCCACCGCGCCCAGCCTAACATGAGCTTTTAACTCCACAAATTTCTCTCTGGTACAAGTGAACTGAGTAACCACGTCATGGTGGCCATAGGTCTCCCATTTCTGGCCTCCTGTTCTCTCCTCATTCCAAAGCATCTGCTGCCCTTCCGAGCCACAAATCTGCTGCTCACATTAGGGATCGCCTCTCCTATTGCACTGAGGACTCTCGGGGGCCTCATTCATCCACTGATTCAACACAGATGTAGCTGGGAACTCTACTAGTTGTCAGGAAAATTGCAGAGGATGAGAAATATTCCCTGTCCTCACAGAGTTTCCAGTTTGTTGGAGGGGACGAAGTGAACACACAGTTATCATCCAGTAATAATGGCAAGTGAAGAGGATGAAGGGAGCAAATAGGTGAACCTACTCTGGACAGAGCAAACTGAGGAAGGCTTCCCTGAGGAAGTGACCATGCAAAGTAGTGGGTAGCTAGCTTGGTGAAGGGGAGAGAGCAGCCACCCATTCAGCAGCAGCAGCAGGTGCAAAGGTCCCAAGGTGGGAAGGGCCTGGGACACTCCAGGGAGTGAAAAGAGAATGAAGCTGAGTTGCAGGGAAGAAAGGCTCTAGCAGCGATGGGCTGCAGAACCAGGCAGGGCCTGCTCGAAGAGGCAGGGGAAAGGACCTCGATCTATATCCTAAAAATAATCGGTAGCCACGGAAGCGTTTTAAGCAGGAGGTGACGTGATTGGGTGCGAGGCTCACTCTGGCTGTGTGTGGAGCCCAGTGTGAAGAAAAGCAATATAGTCGTCCAGGTGAGAGTTGATGGCAGGTGGTGGTGCTTGAGATGGAAAGAAGCCAGCAAATTCTGCAGACAGTCGGGACGGAAATAAATGACAGTTCCCAGTGATGGGTGAGACATGAGGTTTGATAAAAGAGAGGCGGAGGTACTAAGGATGGTCTCTGGGTTTCGGGCTGGCAGAGCAATGCATAGTCATGCTTTTCATGTGGATAAGTTGCCTGCCTGCAGGAAGCACAGCTTCCAGCCTGTGCATGTGTCTTTCTGTCAGGGTAACCTTCAACTCTAATTGTTTTTTTCTGTGTGCTTCCTCCTCCAGAGGGCCAAGATTGCTCAGGGAACCAAGGTTCCAGAAGAAAAGACGACCAACATCATATCGAAATTTGACAACAATGGCAACAGGGACCGGATGAAACTTACTGATTTTAACTTCCTGATGGTGCTGGGGAAGGGCAGCTTTGGCAAGGTACGGTATGACTCTGTGGCTGCACCTGCTCCAGAAGGAGCATCTCACAAGGCAGAAGCATTTGCTGTTCATATGGGACTGACATTCTAATGGAGGGGGGAGTACAAGTAAACAGATCTGCACTATGGTTTGTAACAAATCCCATGAAGGAAATGAACGGAGTGCTGTCTCACAAACAAATCGAGAGGGGACCCACTCAGACTGAGGAGGTGACATGTAAGCTGAGACCTGAAGGATGAGCATGAACCAGCTATGCATTTAAAGAGCTAGGAAAGAATATTCTCAGCAGAGAGAATGGCAAGTATGCAGGCCCTAAGGTGGGTAAGGGCTGGGGGCCTTCTAGGCTCTATCAGAAGGCATTGGGGGCAACATGTCATGAACAGGAACGGGTAGACATGACATTGCAGAGGCAAGCAGGGGCCTGGCAACGCAAAGCCTTCAGAGCTGTGATGAGGAGTCTGGATTTTATTTACCATGCAGTGGGGAGCCATCGAAGGTTTTTGAATAGTGAAGTGGCACAACCAGATTTGCCTTTTGGAAATGATCACCCTGGCAGCCAAAAATGGGAAGTTCCTTTCAAACAGCAGCATAGGGGAAGGATGACCCTGGGATTCGTAGAGTGTTTCTGGATGGTTTTATAGACACCGTGAGATGCTGTTTGACTGAAGTTGAGATTGCGTTATAAGTATTTCTGACTTGTTTAGTGTTATTTTGGGTCTTTTAATCCCTTTGTGTGCCACAAAGATGTCTAGCATAAATTTCATGCCACGGACTCAGGTGTGCAAAAAAAAAAATATATATATATATGTATATATATATTATATATATATATATGTGTGTATATATATATATTTCCACCCACCTCTGGAGCTTAAGTAAAAAATCTGGGAGTTATCCTTGTGTTCCCCTCTTTCCTTCATCCATGTCCTTCCTATCCCCCCCCCAGGTACAATCCCTTGGTGAATCCTGACAGCTCCTTCATGCATTCACTAACTTCTCTCCGTCTTCACTAATACAGCCCTGATCTAAACCATATGCATCACCTGGACAACTGCAGAAGCTTCTAGCTGGTTTCCCACTCATAATCTTGTTACCTATAGTCAATATACTTTCTACTTAGCAGCTATAATGATTTTTAAAGCTTACATTAGGTCAAGGAGCCCCCCTGCTTAAGACCTTCCAGTGACTTCCCATCACAATTAGAATACAGTCTAGACTGCATCCTTACTTTGCATTGCCCTTATAATCTAGCCTTCTTCTCTGCTTGACTTCTTTTTCTTCTCGCCATCACCCACCATACTGTGGCCACAGTAGCAAAGCTTCCTCCTGTTTTGGAGCTTTTATGCTGCTGCTCTCTTTGTTCTTTGCATGGTTAGATCCACCCTGAAATTCCTATCTCAGCTTCAATGTCACCTCTTCTGAAAGATCTTCCCTGACTACCCACTCAGAGTAGCCACTAATTCATTCACCATTATATTCAGTCCTCTCATGGCACCCAGTTCTGGGTGATACTCTTCTTGTTTTGTTACAACCTGACTGGGTTCTTATACCTGCTGCACAAAAAAGAGCCAATGTACTAAGACAGCAGAGAAGGAGTTTAATAATGGCAAAGCAATTGAGCAAGAAAGATGGGAGCTATTTCTCAAATTCCCCTTCCCAAGAATTTTAGGCTAGGGTTTTTAAAGGAATAATTTGGTAGGCAGGAGGCTAGGGATAGGGCCCTGCTGATTGGTTGGGGATAAGGTCATGGGAGTCACTATCTTTGTGTGCAGAGCCAGTTTCAGGGTGGGGAGCTCACAGGACCAGTTGAGTCAGTTCCTTGGTGTGGCTCATGGATTTGGGTGGGGCTCAGTTGGTCCACTAGCATGAAAAGTTTGAAAAATGTCTCAAAGACCACTCTTAGGTGTATGTTATCTATAGGAGTAATTGGGAATTACAAATCTTGTGAACAATGGTTTTTTGACTATGGAAGGTATGTGGGAAGGTGATCAAAGCTGCTCTTGCTCTTCCACTGATGCTGATCAAGCTTCTGGATGCCATCAAGGAAGTATGTGTGACCTAAGGGCTTGCTCTTTAAGAGAAAATAAACTCATCAACCTGGTGGGCAGCTTCCTTCCCCAACCCCTCTGGGTTAGGACATGACAGAATTCAGCTCCATCCTATGATAGTCTATTCTTATGGCTTTCTGTTAATTTTGTGAAGGCATTTTTGCAATGGCAATTTTGATTTCTTTATTGGTTAGTCCCTCTCCCTTTTCTAAGATCTGAACTCTACAAGTGCAGAGATTTCCTTTTTCCTGGTCACCACTGTGTTTTTGGTGCCTAGGGATTGAATCCATTCAGTGCCTAAATTGAATGCACTGGATTTCCTACGTATGTGGGTGGCAAGGTCAACTGCTGAGATGGAATAAGGGATCTGAGTTTAAAGTGCCTCAGCACAGAATGGGAATAGAAAGTAAGGTTGCCGAGCAGTCCTGAAACCTCTGAGGTGAGAAAATAGGCAGTTGGCAGTAGTCTACACCACTGTGTAATTTTTGCCAGCAACTCTGAGCAGCCCAGTTGTGGGGATGGAGAAGCAGATAATGGATTCACACTAAGGGTGGGGATGCAGACCCACAGAGCCTGGCATATAGCAGCTGCTCAGGAAGAGTATGTTGATAGGGGTAGATGGAAATGATATGTAGATTGGGCTGAGAAAGAAGTCTAGCAGGAAGAGGGTCATTGCCTGGGTGGGGGACAAAGGAATTAAAAAGTCTAGGGATGAAAATATTTAGCATGTTAGGAAGAACAGAGGCATTTAGATTTCAAAGATGGAGCAGTTTCCCTGATGAGGGGAGAAAAAGTAGCCTAAAGAAAGAAGAGGTTCTAATAAGCTGAGGCTGTTGGGGTATTTTTTAAAATGAAATGATATTTTTAATAGGAAGTGCATTCACAGGGTTCATCATTAAAATTATATTACAAGGATAAACATTGAGAAGTTCTGCTCCCACCCAAGTTCACATTTCTCTGGGACTCCTTACTGTGACTGCCCTTCCTGTGTGAACAGTTTTGTTCATTTAGTTCATATCTTTCTGGTCTCAGTGCTAATTTAGCATTTTTATTCTTGTCCTTGTTAACTCAAAAGTTTGCAGGCTATGCACATGTTTTTGATCACTTATCCAAATAGGCTGAGGATTTTTGATGGAGGAGTGGAAGTTCTGGAGAGCCTTATGGAAAGAACTGGGGCTGGGGGGTGGGAGGAGGAGTGGGAGAATGGATCATTGGGGAACAGAGAGAGAGAATAGATCATAAGTTTCCATGGAAACTGTTGTAATAATTGAGAGTTCTGTTCCAGACTGGAGATGTAGCATCAAATAAATCATAGATGAAAACAACAGTATGTCATGAAAGCAAAAGACAATAACAAACACCTCTATGATCCTTTAAAACGTAGAGTAATCCTTTGCAACTCTAGTTTTGCCATCCAGGGTTTTAAATTAATGCGGGTTTTATATTTGAATGCTTACTTTGAATGTTTTGCAGTTGGGTTAGGTATATAGATCAATCCCCTTAAATAGAAGAACATAGCTGCAGTGATTTGTTCTCCCTCTTCTGAAGATGAAAGAGATCAGCCTTTGGGGTAATCTGTTTACACCTCCCCTTCTGTGTCCACTGTAGCAGACCCGGCCCCAAAAAACATACTCTTAAGCATTGTAATAATTTGTGGAGCGACTAGGGAATGACACAAACCTTTTGCTAAGACCTGTGAAAATGAAACAAGGGAGAAAGCAAGTGTGAAGGCCATTGGATTCCAAGCCAGTAAACTTTGATTTGAAAACTTTAAAAAGAAGAGCAATTTGGAGAGTTCACTTTCCTGAACAGATGAAGGTGTTTACCTTACCAGGACAGAGCCTGGTGGCGTATCTGGCTTACTTGGGGATAGATGCCTTCTAGAACTTTTATTATAGAGCATTCAAATATGTTATTCATTTATCTTCTTCTTATAGTTTGCTGTAAGAAGACTATAGTGTTGCTATAGTGTTGCTTCTTATAGTTTTAGCCTTTACCCTCTATTTTTGTGATTCCTTGAACTTTAACTTGAACTTTACCAACCTCTGCATCTTTCAAGAATTTAACCTCTAGGTTGTCGAAACATTGCTGAGTTCATTATCAGTTGAGCAGATATATACTGTCGAGATTACTTACACAAGGTTACTTTATAAAGTAAACACAGCAAGTACCTGATAAAATATATACACAGCATAAATACAACTCTTAACATTATAGATGATTCCTCTAACCCTAATGTGCTGCCATAATAAACATCCATATTTGAGTGCTTACTTTGAATGTTTTGCTGTTGGATATATAGATCAATCCCCTTAAACAGAAGAACATTAGCTGCAGTGATTTGCTCTCCCCCTTCTGAAGATGACAGCTTATTAAATAGTTAATTAATGCTGTATTGCTTGTCTTCTGAAGCTTCTTATGTGATCGTGGCAATGATTTATATGATCCAAGTCTTTTGAAAAAGTTACACTGGAAAGTTTGATTGGAGGCTTTCTTGTTTTCTTATACCACTGGTTCTTGCCTATGGAGGGTACTGCGCTCATGTGTGTGTATTAGGGCAGGGTGGAGAGGATGGATCAGGGCTGGGGTGGGGGCAGCTGGTGTGGACTTATTCCCTTTTTGTAATATACTCATGGTCTCTGTTCTCATTGAACTTCCCAATATTTCATTATGAAAAAATTTGTAAATACAGAAAAGTTGAAAGAAAAGTATAATGAACATTCATAATACCCACCACCTAGATTCTATAATTAATACTTGACTATATTTGCTTTATCACATATCTATCCAGTTATCTAGCCCTCCATCAACCAATTTTAATGCATTTCAGAGCAAGTTGCAAACATCAGTACATTTACACTTAAACTCCTCTGCCTTCGTGTCATTTAAGCAGAATTCAATATTTTTAATGATTATTTTGAAGATAAAAATTTACATACAATGAAATGCATG